TTTTCAATTATCTTTATATACAGAAGAACAATTTAGTATATATTAAGTAAAGATTTCAACAGTTTGCACCCACACAGAACATAAAGTGTAAAATACTGTTTGAGTACTAGTTATAGCATTAATTCACATTGAACAACACATTAAGGACAGAGATCCTACATGAGGAGTAAGTGCACAGTGACTCCTGTTGTTGACTTAACAAATTGACACTCTTGTTTATGGCATCAGTAATCTCCCTAGGCTCTTGTCATGAGTTGCCAAGGCTATGGAAGCCTCTTGAATTCACCGACTTCGATCTTATTTAGACAAGGTCATAGTCAAAGTGGAGGTTCACTCTTGCCTTCAGAGAAAGGTACCTCCTTCCTTGATGGCCCGTTCTTTCTACTGGGATCTCACTTGCAGAGATCTTTCATTTAGGGTTTGGGTTTTTTTTTTGTTTTTTTTTTGTTTGTTTTTGGGTTTTTTTTTTTTTTTTTTTTTTTTTGCCAGAGTGTCTTGGCTTTCCATGCCTGAAATACTCTCATGGGCTCTTCAGCCAGATCCGAATGCCTTAGGGCTGATTCTGAGGCCAGAGTGCTGTTTAGGACATCTGCCATTCTATGGGTCTGCTGTGTATCTCACTTCCCATGTTGGATCATTCTCTCCCTCTTTGATTCTATCAGTTAGTATTTGCAGACACGAGTCTTGTTTATGTGATCCCTTTGACTCTTAGTCCTATCATTATGATCAATTGTGAAGAGAAATTGATCACTTGGACTAGTGAGATGGCATTGGTACATGCCACCTTGATGGGATTGAATTAGAATCCCCTGGCACATTTCTAACTCTACCGTTTGGGGCAAGTCTGATTGAGCATGTGCCAAACTGTACATCTCCTCCCTCTCTTATTCCCACTCTTATATTTAACAGAGATCACTTTTCAGTTAAATTTAAACACCTAAGAGTAATTGTGTGTTAATTACAGAGTTCAACCAATGGTATTAAGTAGAACAAAAAAAAAAAAAAACACTAAAAGGGATAAAGTATTAAGTTGTACATCAACAGTCAGGACAAGGTCCGAAAAATCTTTACATAGTATAGAGTTGGTCTTCTGTGTACAAAGTTAATTGAAAATGTATCTTAATGGGGAAGGTGACTAGGAATGGGAGAGAGGGCAGGAGGTGGGTTGGGAGGGTGAGTATGGTGGGAAGAAACACTATATTCCTAAAGTTGTGCTTAAAAAATTTGCACTCACTAAATAAAAGATTTCTATAGAGAAAAAAATTAAATGTTAGCTTCCACAAAAAATAAATAAATAAAGGAGGATTCTCAGGCACCAAAAAAGGCCAGAGCCAAGAGAAGAAGAGAAAAAGTGCCTGAGACTAGGCAGTTGAGAGCAAGACAGTGGATGGGGACCTTGAGGGTTTGGAAAGTACATGGGATACGGATAGGAAGTGGTAAAGGTAGAAGCTGAAATCCGAAGAACTCTGAATTAATAGTGGTTATGGAGCATGAGGTCATAAAGGACCATGGACTTGAGAACAAAGCAATAGGAATCCAAATCCCAAATCTCACACCACTAGTTAGAGAAGCTGTTTAACTTTCAACTATGAACTATTCTAAGCCCCTATCTCTTCGTCTATGAGATAAGGATTAGGAAACCTCTTCAAAGGATAAAATGAGATCAGATCAGATTCTAAGTGTCAGACACACACTGGACAACAAAACCAAATACTTTTCCCCTACATGTAAGAGGAAGCCTAGAGAGGCAGGCTGTTTCTCTGCTCTGACCTTTGCTAGTCTATTTTGACACCAGACAAGCTTTTCCTCTTGACGAGGGAGCACTGCAGTTTTAAACTACAGAAGAATGAAATCCCCTGGGCTAAGCTCCATTGGACTGTTATGGAGGGATATCCCCTTTCCACTCTCACCCAGTGAGCCTGGCTTCATTCTTCCTGCACACACCTTGCCTTGGGCGAAAGTGAAACAAACTCAGATATCAAGGCATACCCAGGGTGGGGCAAGGGCAGTGTGTTGGTCTATTTGCACAGCTGCACTCAATTAAGAGAAGCCATAATTGTTTTATACTATTATTCAAAGCTTAATCCTCTAGAAAGAAGAATGGACGGTAGGTTTTTCTTTTTCATCTTTCAGGGGTGTTTTTTGTTTGTTTTTATTTCTCATCATAATATTTAGATAGCATTTGTGAAAGCAAAGGCAGGCAGAATGAAATGGATAATCAAACAGAGGGCTCCAAGACACATTTACAAAAGCCTTCAGCTCAGAAATGCTTCATTTACCCAGACAGCAGGCAGTGCAGACCATGGGAAAGTCAGTTGCCATGGACAGGGGGTAATTCATGCCAATCGGCCAGAGTTCCTCTTTCAAAATGCTCCTTATATAGCATGTAGCATAATAAATCACTCCAACAAGGAAGTAGTCAAGAAGCACCACATGCTTCTGCAGGTGCTGAACTTGTGCTAAAGACTGGAGGTGCCAATAGGAATAGAAGGCAAGTCTCAAGGCCAAGATAGAGGTGAGGTGAGTGAGGTGCTTGCCTCCAGAGAAAAATGTAAGGCAACACCAAAATATCTGGTTAGTAGGATAAATAAGATTGCAACACATTATTTTTAAAAATCTGAAGCAGTGAAAAGAAAAATCACGCAGGTAAACAAAATAGCAAGAAGTCAGTTTACTATTAATTTGGATAATTAGATATACATAGAGACTGTGAAAAGTATCATGAAAGTCAATTTAAGAGTAAAAATCCAGTATTTATGTAATCACAAAAGGAAGCTTTGTGAAGCGACAACTATACAGAACAGACCAATTACAAAAATCACCATACATATTTTAAATCTTCCTTTTAAAGACTAAAACTGATATTATCATCTAAAATAAAATCCCTTGATTTGAAATTTGTAAATAAGATCAAGAGTCAAAAATATTCATTTCCTTTGATTCAAAAATCATACTTTAGGAAATCTTTCATAAGTTCAGCCAAAACATGGAAAAAGTGTAATCTCTAATAAAAAAATTTTCAAACAATGCTCAACAGAATATTATCCAGTCATTTAAAATAATAAAACCAAACAATGTTACAAAATGAAGAAAAAGTGAAAAAGTTGGAAATTTAAATGCATGTGTAGTACATTAATAACCATATAGCAACTGCATAGGAGAACTGTTAAGGAAAATAAATATACTAAAAATTATAATAATTTTATTTTGATGGTAGAAATCTGGCTTTCTCCTTTCTTTCCTTCCTTCCTTTATTCCTTCCTTCCTCCCTTTTCTTCCTTCCTTCCCTCCTTGCCTCCTTTCTTTTTCCCTTCCTTCCTTCTCCCTGTCCTGTTTTTTAGAATTTGCACTGTATGTTCTATCTTATCTCCATCCAGAAATTCTCAAATATATGTGAGGCAGATTCAAAGGAATAATTTTTTTAACTTTTATTTAATGAATATAAATTTCCAAAGTACGGCTTATGGATTACAATGGCTTCCCCCCCATATCGTCTCTCCCACCCGCATCCCTCCCCTTTTCCACTCCCTCTCCCCTTCCATTCACATGAGGATTCATTTTCGATTCTCTTTATATACAGAAGATCAGTTTAGCATACATTAAGTAAAGATTTCAACCGTTTGCTCCCACACAAACATAAAGTGAAAAATAATAGATGATTTTTTAAATGATGATGAAATCAGATCAGACCTATTGTCATGTTTAATCCCAGTGAGAGTCAAGTTGGGAATTGCTAATTTCTTCTTTTTTTTTTTTTTTACAGAAGATCAGTTTAGTATACATTAAGTAAAGATTTCAACAGTTTGCACCCCCATAGAAACACAAAGCGAAATATACTGTTTGAGTACTCATTATAGCATTAAGTCTCAATGTACAGCACATTAAGGACAGAGATCCTACATGAGGAGTAAGTGCACAGTGACTCCTGTTGTTGACTTTACAAATTGACACTCCTGTTTATGGCATCAGTAATCTCCCTATGCACCAGTCATGAGTTTCCAAGGCTATGGAAGCCTTTTGAGTTCACCGACTCTTATCTTGTTTAGACAAGGTCATATTCAAAGGAATAATTTAAGAAGAATGTAATTACAGGATCCTCTCAGATACAGAGTAAAGTTATAAGGAAATAACAAAAGATGATAAAATATTAAGGTCTAGCAATAGCTGGGGATTATTGCTATTTCTAGGTCAGAATGAGAGAGAGGAGGGAACTGTTTCTGAAACCAGGAGAGAACTATAATTATATTGAAAGCTGCCCAACAGGAAGTATAAGCACCGAAAAACTGCAATATGGGATAGCAGTTAACACTTCATCTTTATTTCCTACATCCTTCTAGTATCTTCATAATGTCTTCGTTTGCTGAACTCAATTGAACAGCATAGTATAAAGAGACTGTATCTGGTGGTGAGCCTCTTGGGGCCCAGAGTAGCTAAGAAGGATGCAATGTGGATCTGGAGAGGAAAATAGAATATTTTCTATAGAAGAATTGATACAACCTTATTTCTAAGAAAATATATATATATAGTGATTTGAAACTCACTTCCCTTATTCGTCAAATGTAGATAAACATGATTTCTACTTCGTTAAGTTATTAGATAAACTTGAACCCAGTGATACCAATTAACCTGTTTTATCATTAATAGCAAAATTATTACATGTGTGCTCATGATGAGGAAGTAGTGGAAGAGACGGTGATGGTGATGATGCCGGCCATGATAGTGATGGAAGGCATCATGGTGTTGATGATGATGGTGGTGTCTGTCGTGGAAAGAGTTGAGGTGGTACTGAGGATAATGGTGATGGAGACAGTGATGATGTTGTATATAATGGTGAAGTTGGAGTCGTGGTAGAGGGTACTTCAAAAAGCTTGTGGAAAATATGACTAAAATGTACATTTATTTTTGTGCAAAAATGCAAAATTCATGCATAAGTGTAGATAATACACATTTTTCATGAACTTGTTGAAGACCTCTCATATGCAAGTGTTTCAAGGGTTTTGAGTACCAAAATAAACTTATCATCTTTTAATTCCATTTTCTATAAACCTTTTGTAGTACCTCATATGTGGTCGTGATAGTTACGGTGGTAGTGGTGGTGATGGTGATGGTGGCAATTATGGTGGCAGAACACAGGATGGGATTTGATGATAGCAGTGGTGGTGGCTATGTTATTGATACATTATTCTTTCATGTTCTGTTCTGTTACATTCTCTCTTATATTCTATACACTATTTTCTTGAACTGTGAGTTGCAAGTAATACTAACTTATTAAGTAACAATAATAAACATGTATATATCTTTTATGAGACCAAGCATTAACAAACAGTAAAATAGATATCCAACAGGGTCTATCCCCATGGTGGATTTTTGACCCATATACAAATTTAACTCAACCCAGAGTGCATTCACTGAGCGATATTTATCTTCAGAAAAGAATGAATGTTCCTACCTTCATAGACTTCACAGCCTGAGAGCAGGGACAGGAAACAAACATACAACACTGAAAACACAGCATCCTAGACTCTTGCGATTTTCTTCCCAATGTGTAGCAGAATGCCTACCACATGTGGCCTTGAAAACTGTTTATTCAAGGAATTAAGGCAAGTGCTAAAATTATTTTGAAAGTAAAAATCACCATGATTGTATAGAGAAGATGATATTGAGCACTTGGCCCTTTGAAGTACTTCACATGTTCTAACTCATTCAATATTCTCTACAGTCCTCTGAAATGGATACTGATATTATTCCCACTTTGCAGATATGGCAACTGAGAAAAAAATTAAACAAATAGCTTTAAGCCCCACAGCTTTCAAATGAATAATTTGGAGTTCAAACCCAGACAATGCCAGTTCTACAGAATAGGATCTTGCCCATAATGTCCTCAGGAAAGACTTTATGGTGGAGAACCTGGAATTAGAAATAGACCTCAAAGTATGAATAGTGACTGAAAACACAAAGGGAAAGCCACCCAAGGCCAAGGAACTATCATGAAGCAAAGGCCAAAAAGGAAATACACAAGTAGCTTGAATGGCATTCTCAGAGATGTGCTCCAGGAAGATGATCTGGAACTCGACTCATAGGCGGATTGGAAAGTATCATCCATGGATCAAAGAAATAAACAGAAAACCTGCTGCAGTGCATTATCACACATTCTTCAGGATGGTTGGTAGATGTTTTATCCTCTGTGGAGGGAACTGTCTCCTGGATCGCCTTCAAATGTGAATGACGAGTAACAGGGGTCACACGCCCTCAAATGTGATGCTGTTGTAGCCACAAGCCTGACCAGTGGTCTCAGCAGAAAGAGTGTGGTGGCCTAGGAACAGGAATGAGCTTTAGCTGTAGCTATGTCCTATCCGTGGGGGGCAGCACTGGTGTGGTCAAAGGGAGTCTTGCAACAGGGAGCAAGAAAGTCCAAAATGTGAGCAACATCTGGAGTGAAGGAGGCCTGGTTAGGTGCTCCATGAAGCACCCTGGGACTGCAGCATGGGGCAATGCTGGGAACCTTCTCTCCAGTTTCTTGTTTTCCATCTGTATTTTATTGGCCAAATCCACCTGCCCCAACTCTGCCCTCTCCTCCAGCATCTAATATCACAGCAACAGTTCTAATTGTTTCTGCTACATTAAAACTGTCTGGCTTATGGGGACAATCACTATACCTCAGAACAGGAAGACAAATGAGGACAGGCATATTTTTATTTTGAAATTTCCTTGGAATAAATACCAGATCAGAGGTGGTCAGGAGCACAAAGGAGAAAAACAAAACAAAACAAACTTGAACTATCCCAGGCAGGGAAATGCATGAGAAGAAAACACTGTGAAGGCATGTGTTTGCCTTCTGGTTTGCTGGGGAATCTTCCAAGTGAGGAGCTCTTTTCCTGGCACTATGTTGGCTGTGTTCGGGCTCCCATCTTGGATCACCAGGGCCCGTTAGACCAAGCTCAGGCCTTTAAGGGCAGTCTCTGCCACAAGGTTCCCTGCTGTGTGGCCAAAGCCTGTGGTTTGAGCGCCTCCCCACTTCCCTTGACTCTTTCGTCCCTCTTCTTTGACAGGTGGTCTGGAAAAGCTGTTCCTGCTCAGCCAGCCCACTTCGCTCCATTCGGGCCTCAACCCTCTTGTGTGATACATGGAGCTAAAACAACTTGCCAAGGGGCCCTCACTGAGGTGAAGGGGCTGGTCCTCCCTCACCCTCCTGGAGAGGACAGGGATGGGCCCCTTGTGGGTACACGGGCTGGAAGGGGAACACCTCAGGTCCTCATATACAGGGTAACGGGCAACTTCCAGATGCTGTTGGGCCAGGCAAAGATGGCAATCAAAGAAAATTTACAACGAAGAGAAATTTAAATGATCCACCTATAGGCATTAAAAAAAAAAAAAAAAAAACCACAAAATTTGGTTACCTTTATCCAGGAACAGCACACTAAAAATAAGAAGCCCATTCAATAGCCTAAGCAACAGTACAAATGTGATAAGCCAAAATTTGAAAAATTTAGCTTTTAGCAATGTATTTTTTATAAATATGTGCTGTATTCTCAAACTTAGCATTCTACTGCATAATATATATTCCAGGCACCTAACACTGGATGTTTATTAAATAGTGTAAAAAAGACAAACTGATACATCTCTCCCATAATAGGTCTTATATTTCAGTGGAGGTGACAAATTTTAGGAACTCAGTCAACCAATAAATCAACACAAATTCTGATAAATATTGTAAATTAAAAGAAAATAAGCTCCTTTTTAAAAATTACTTGTTTAAACTTGAAATAAGCCAGTCCCAAAGGGACAAATATCATATGTTCTCTCTGATCGGTGACAACTAACTGAGCACCTAAAAGGAAACCTGTTGAATTGAAATGGACACTATGACAAACAATGACTTGATCAGTCTTTGTCCTGACTATCAAGGGACAACTTACTACTTTATTCCTTTTAGTGTTATTCCTTTTAGTGTTGTTGTTGTTGTTGTTGTTGTTCTACTTAATACCATTGGTTGAACTCTTCAGTTAACACACAATTATTATTAGGTGTTTAAATTTAACTGAAAAGTGATCCCTATTAAATATAAAAGTGGGAATAAGAGAGGGAGGAGATGTACAGTTTGGCACATGCTCAATCAGACTTGCCCCAAACGGTAGAGTTAGAAATGTGCCAGGGGATTCTAATTCAATCCCATCAAGGTGGCATGTACCAAGGCCATCTCACTAGTCCAAGTGATCAATTTCAGTTCAAAATTGATCATACTGATAGTCTAAGAGTCAAAGGGATCACATAAACAAGACTAGTGTCTGCTAATACTGATAGAATTAAAAAGGAAAGAACAATCCAACATAGGAAGCAGGATACACAGCAGACTCATAGAATGGCAGATGTCCTAAATAGCACTCTGGCCTCAGAATCAGCCCTTAAGGTATTCGGATCCGGCTGAAAAGCCCATGAGAGTATTTCAGGCATGGAAAGCCAGGACACTCTGGCAAAAAAAAAAAAAAAATGACCTAAATGAAAGATCTCTGTGAGTGAGATCCCAGTGGAAAGAACAGGCCATCAAGGAAGGAGGTGCCTTTCTCTGAAGGGAGGAGAGAACTTCCATTTTGACTATGGCCTTGTGTAAATATGATCAGAATTCCTTAGCCTTGGCAGCTCATGACAAGAGCCTAGGGTGATTACTGACATCATAAATAAGAGTGTCAATTTGGTAAGTCAACAACAGGAGTCACTGTGCACTTACTCCTCATGTAGGATCTCTGTCCTTAATGTGTTGTACTATGTGAATTAACAGCATAACTAGTACTCAAATAGTACTTTATACTTTGTGTTTCTTTGTGGGTGCAAACTGTTGAAATCTTTACTTAGTATATACTAAATTGATCTTCTTCTGTGTATAAAGATAATTGAAAATGAATCTTGATGTGAATGGCATGGGAGAGGGAGTGTGAGATGGGATGGTTGCCGGTGGGTGGGAGGTTATGGGGGGGAAAGCCGCTATAATTCTAAAGTTGTACTTTGGAAATTTAAATTTATTAAATAAAAGTTTAAAAAATTATTTATTTAACTTTTTTTTTATAGACAGAGTTAGACAGTGAGAGAGAGAGACAGAGAGAAAGGTCTTTCTTTTCCGTTGGTTCACCCCCCAAATGGCTGCTACAGCTGGCGTGTTACACCGATCTGAAGCCAGGAGCCAGGTGCTTCCTCCTGGTCTCCCATGCGGGTGCAAGGCCCAAGGACCTGGGCCATCCTCCACTGCCTTCCCGGGCCACAGCAGGGACCTGGACTGGAAGAGGAGCAATCGGAATAGAACCAGCACCCCAACTGGGACTAGAACCCGAACCCGGGGTGCCAGCACCGCAGGTGGAGGATTAGTCTAGTGAGCCAATGTGCAGGCCTATTTAACATTTGAAAGGCAGAGTTACAGAGAGAGAGAGCGAGAGAGAAAAGGCAATCACTTCCATCTGCTGGTTGAGTCCCCCGATCATCACAGTGGCTGGGGCTGGGCCAGGCTGAAACCAGGAGCCTGGAGCTCCATCTGTGTCTCCCTTGTGCATGCCAGGGTCCCAATCACTTGGGCCATCTTCCACTGCTTTCCCAGGCGCATTAGCAGGGAGCCGAATCTAAAGTGGAGCAGGCAGTCATATGGAACACCAGTATCTTAGGCAGTGGCTTAAACCGCTGCACCATTACATTAGCCCAGTGTCACATCATGTTTGTCTTTGTGACTGGCTCATTTCATGTAATGTAATGTCCTTAAGACTTATCCATGTTGCACCTGTCAGAATTTCTTTACTTCTTTAGAGAGAATTTAAATCTATATAAGCTGGACAAATTTCATGTAATCCATATATACAGATCCAGAAGCTGAGTGATACTTCCCACCCTACTCTCCCTCCTGCCCCTGCTCCCACCCTCCCTCCCCCTTCACTTCCTAAACCTTCTTCTAATTTAAACATTGATACACCCCCCAGTCCTCTTCATAATCACAAGCTTAATCTTCCTCCAAGCAAAGAATTCAACAGAGTGAAAAGAAAAAAAAAAAAAAAAAAAAACACTGTTCCTTAATAGTTAAGACAAGCACTGTACACAATAATCAAGTCTCAACATGTCAATTTTGCTCATATACATTACATTTTGTGTATGCTATTAGTTACCACAGGGAAAACATGATATTTGTCTTTTTGGAACTGGTTTACTTCACCAAGTATAATGGTTTCCAGTTTACTACAAAAGACGTAATTTCGTTCTTTACCACTGAGTAGTATTCCACCATGTATATACACCACATTTTCTTTATCCAGTCATCAGTTGATGGACATCTGGGTTGATTCCATGTTTTAGCCACTGTGAATTAAGCTGCAATATACATGGGGGTACAGATCACTCTTTCCTGAGCTGATTCCATTTCATTTGGGTAATTTCAGGAGTGCAATGGCTGGGATATTTCTGTGGTGTCTCCATACTGTCTTCCCCAATGGCTGTACTAGTTTACATTCTGACCAATAGTGCATTAGAGTACTTTTCCCCCACATTCTCACCAGCATTTATTGTTTTGTGACTTCTGTATGAGAGCCATTATAACTGGGGTGAGGTGAAATCTCATTGTGGATTTTATTTGCATTTCCCTGATGGTTAGTGATCGAAGGGGCTCAGGAATGCCGACTTTGTGAATATAATAGCTGAGCTAAGATCCGAAGACTGAGCAGGAGCTGACTGTGTGAAGAGTGATGGAGCAAACATTACAGGTAGAGGGAACTTGAAATAGAAACGCACTTGGCAAAGATGATGCCAGTTTGCTAGCGTGCTGTGGGCAAGGAATGAGAAGGGGTTGCAATGGCAGGAAGGAGCCAGGTCACCCAGTGTCCTGTAGGTGGTGTTACGGCCTGGGGGTTTTATTTTAGCTGCAATGAGAATTCCCTAAAAATTTTAAGCAGTGTAGGAACATGACCCATGAAAGCGGAAGCAGTGAGACCAGTTAGGAGGCTGTCACCATACTCTGCAGAGACACAAGAGTGACTTGAGCTAAAACGACTGCAATGGAGATGAGAAGAGCCTGAGGCTCCATGTTCTAGTGAGGGGTGAAGTGTAAGTGACTCGGTGCCTCATCAACTGTGGCGTGGAAAGGCACAGATGGCCAGGAAAGCTCCTAGAGGTCCAGTTTGAGAAACTGGGTGGGAGAGTCCATTTGTCTGGACTGAGGAGCTCACAACAAAGACTTTATTGGCAATGCAATTACGTAAGAGCCGTGCTTGGGGAATACACAAAGGATTACAGGAGCAGGAAGGAAGGAGCCAGTGACTCTGCTGGGAGTCGAAGGAACAGGCATCAGGGAAGGTGGAGCTGGCAGCTGAAAGATGAACAATGTTGAACAGGTTGGAAATGAAAGAAGGTCTTCTGGGGAAAAGGAACAGAATCTTTAAAAATATAAATAATGCCAACCCTACAGAACTTTTGAGATTACATGGGCAGTATATGTAGAAGTCCTTAAAAACACGTCTTGGAATCCATTGATGATGCTTCCGCCACCGACGTCAAGCCATCCATCAGCGAGAGTTGTTCATGAGCATCTCATTCCTCAGCCAGTTCAGATGGGCTCCCCCACCTCTTCCTCATCTCAGAGACAGACATGAAATGATAAGCACTTCTTGACCTGCAGGGCTACTGACTGAAGGTTACAACAAAGGAATTCATTTGTAAGGTATTTATTTTCATGCTTTGCATTTTAAAAATGCATGTCCCTTTAAGATTTAAAGCCTATTTGAAAAGTCCCTATTTCTCCATTTGCTTCTGTAACTTCAACAGCAGCTAGCACATAGCCTTGCACAAGGAGATGCTCAACACAGCGGCCAGTGCTGTGGCACCACTTGCAATGCCTCCAGCCTCCCCCATACCAGAACCCAGGCTCAAGACACTGCTGCTCCACTTCTGATCCAGCTCCCTGCAAGTACACCCTGGAAAGCAGCAGAAGATGGCCCAAGGGTTCGGGCCCCTGCCACCCACAGGAGAGACATAGATAGAGTTCCTTATCCCCAGGCTTTGGCCTGACCCAGCCCTGCTGTTGCAGCCGTCTGGGGAGTGAACCTGGGGAGTGAATGGAAGATTTTCTGTATCTCCCTCTCTTTATTTGTCACTCTGACTTTCAAACAAATCAATAAATCTTTTAAAAAAAAAAAAAAAAGTCCACTAAGCATTGTGAGGCAATAGAGCATTTATGGAGCCTCCCTTTTCTCCATAGACTATATTAGGTCTGGGGGCACAAAGAAAGCCAGAGCAAAGTTTCTGTCCTCAAAGATGTCAGAGATAAATCTAAAGGAAGAAAAACATGCACACGCACACTCCAACATACAGAGCGTAATAAATGTGTCTAAATAATAAAGTCCCTCTCATGTGGCCCCTCCCCAGAATGCAGAAGTGAACGGAATACAGCCAAACCAAAATATGTTTCGATCTGTAAGCATTTGCAGGCTTGGAATCTCCAAAGCAGAAACTTGAGGGTACAAAAGCAGACTGAAGTACAGTCAGTGGAATTCTTTGAGGTTACCCATAAATATTCACCAAGCCTTTCCCCAGTCCTATACCTAGTCATAAATCCCCGTTTCTCTTCAAGAACTTTTACATTTGATCAACGATGCAGGGTGATGTTTAAACCAGGCCACTTGGAATATTCGATTTTCATACATAGCTTTAAGATTTTAATTTCCACCCTGCAAACCAGCTCGGATTTTCCCTGTCCTGAAATAAATCAGGATTTCCAAGACATGAAAGCAGGCTCCGAGCACAGAAGGGCTTTCTGAGCGTTCAGCCTGGTTGCGTTGCTCAGTCAAGTCATACAAACAACTTACCTCTCACCTCATCTCGGTCCCATGGGGTTGGTCTGCAAAACTGGCAGCTAATGTGGTGAGAGAAAAATGCCCAGCACTCAAGATCAATCAGTCAAAAAAGGCAAGAGCCATTCATCAAAGGAGGGAAGGACCAACCCAAAGACGTTGTGGCACATTTACCCAACCAATCTCAAACTAATTGGCCCCCCTGCTTAATCTCCTGTTCCCCTCTATGTCTTGCCAATGGCCACAGAGCTAGAAGGGGAGAGCCAACTCTTAGCAGCAGAATGGTTGATGTATACAGGATATTGCTAATATATCACAGAATTGGAGCACATCAGAGCTGAAATGGTTTTTAGAGTTCATTTAGCAAAATGCTCAGTTTAGAGAGGTGGTGTGGTAGGGTCAGAAGGGGACAGAAGGAGCTTGGGCTTGGGTCACACTGGGGCAGGTTTCTAATTAATACTCCATTATTTTCAAGCAATATCACTTCAATCTGAGTGCAAATTATACTACTCATCTTTCAAAAGGGGAGAAATGTCATATTCATAGGACTCCATGAGAGTATGATAACATAAGTAAATGTACCTTAGAAACTCCAAGGAATATATACGTGAATGAGAACTTAGTATCATTGTAAAGAAACCAGTAAATGCTACCTGAATCCAAACAATACGAGGTATTTATCTTAACTGAACCTTCTTTACCTTACAGATGTAATAGAATCACCTATGGCTCCCACTCACATTGTAAAACATGCAGTCAAGCCTCTGGACCGGAGACTTGCAGAGCTGTGGACTAGTCCCTAGGATGCCAGAATTGTTGATGAGAAGTCCATTGTATTTGCTCCCATTCGCTTGATTTCATCTGTATTTCTGAATACAATTGCAAAGCCAAATATAATGTAAGTTGCTAAAATGAGTTTTATAAAGAGATTTGTTATGTAGATAACAATACAGTTGACAGAACTATACCAATACAACTTTTTAATAAAACTGCATCAATATGACTTTGTTGTTAATTATGAATAAAGCCATTATAAAAGATGGAACTAAAAATCATAAAAATTTAGGAGAACTGCACATTCAAATTTATTCCAACGGCCTTTAATATTTTCCTTCACTTTGAAGAAACTGAAAATTTTAAAGTTTATGAGTACAACCATTCAAGAGAGTCAACTGATATTCAGCCTTAAAGGCGGGGGCGGGGGGGCACTGTGGTGTAGCTGGTAAAGCCACTGCCTGCAGTGTCGGCATCCCATATGGACATCAGTTCGAGTACCAGCTGCTCCACTTCCAATCCAGCTCTCTCCTATGGCCTGCGAAAGCAGTAGAAGATGGCCCCTGTCCCCGAGAAGGAGGAGAGAGACAACATGCAGGAGGAACATCTGAGGAACCCCTGAGAGAGCCGGACGGCAGTGTGCCGCTCCTCCACGGAAGCGGGGGAAGCGGCAGGGGTGCCACCCCTCCGCGGAGGCGGGCAGAGTGGCAGCAAACCCAGGAAGGGCCGGGAAAAGAGAACAGTGCAGGGTCCGGGGTTGCTCCTCTGAGAGTAGGGGAGTGACAGGTATCAAAGAGAGCACTCAATTTCTCAAAATAGCTGATGACCAGGGAGAAAGGCAGAAAAGCAAAGAAGGATGGGAAAAGAGACAAGGGGAGAACAAGGGAGTGGGGAAAGGAGGAGGGACTACTAAGGGGCTGCCCTGCCCAGCATGTTCACATAAGCTGGCTTTAAGGGAATAGTGTGACATAAATGTTGAACACGCTGAGTTTTGGAGGCAGCAGCACTTCCAGGGATGTTGTGTAATGAGCAACAGCTAAGAAAACAGGAGGTTCATCTCTTAAACATCTTTAATAATGAAATATTGTGATAAAACATCTAATCTGTATTGAACACAAATCTCATGCCAATCACTATGCCAAACTTCCCATGCATAAGCAATCTAGTGTAATCTCCTCAGTGATTATAAGAGGTACCAGGACAATAACCATAATAACTAGCAGCCTCACATATAGTCACTGTGCTGGACGTGCCTTTAAACGTGCACAGGGGCCAGTGTTGTGGCACAGCAGGTATGTGAAGCTGGCACCCTTGTGGGTACTGATTTGAGTCCCAGCTGCTCTACTCCCAGTCTTGCTACCTGCTAATGGCCTGGGAAAAGCAGCAAAGGATGGCCCAAGTGCTTGGGCCCCTGTATCCATGTGGGAGGCCCAGAAGAAGCTCCTGGCTCCTGGCTTTGGCCTGGCCCAGCGCTGGTGTTTGTGGCCATTTCAGGGGTGAACCAGTAGATGGATGATCTCTCTGTGGGTCTCCCTCTCTTTCTGTAACTCTGAATTTCAAATAAATAAATAAATCTTTTGAAAAAGTTTTACGTATTTTAACTCATTCAACTGTTACGGCACTTTAGGAGATAAGTATTTTATCACTGTCTCCACTTTACAGGTGAAAAACTGCACTCAGGAAGACTAAGGTGGCTTTGCCAAGATGATGTGACTAGTAAGTAAATAAGCACATTGGACATATGTAAATGTCAGTAAGAATCCACATGGCTTAAACATTGAGTCACCACAGTCTACACTCTCTGACAGGCACGTATCTGGCACTGATAGTGCAAAAAATAAATTAAGATTGGCAATGTCCACCTTCAAGGAACTCAGTCCACCAGGAGAGCAGACCTATGCAGAAACAGAATAATACTCAAGTGGAATCCATACAAAGGCACAGAGGTACGGATTCCGTCTGGGACAGGCACGTCAGTCTACAGAGAACCCATCTCCAGGTAACTGAGTTTGTAAAAAAAAGATACAAATTTGCCAGTTAGGGAAGAGAGGAAAAAATGAAGACTGTCAGAGAAATACAGAAGCTTAAGCCACCCTTGGGGAACATCAAGATGTCCTGGCTGGTTGAGAATTTATAAAGGTGGAAGGCAGCAAAGGCAGATGAAAACATCCGAGCAGATGGAGCCAGACTGAAGGATTTAGGTGCCAGGCTGTGCACTGAAAGCTTGGAGAAAGCCCATATTTTTAGCTTTTGCATGAGCACTGTGCATTTAGCAGCTGCAGGTAAGGAGGAGAAATTGAAAGAGAGTAATGTGCTAGGATCTGTATCTGAAATATGTCCCCTTAGCACCAGGGTAGACCTTGGATTGCCAGGGGGCTAGAAAACTTGAGAAGGTGTATTCAGGAGACCGGCAGAAGGTGGAGGGAATAAAAAAGGATAAATTAAAACAAAATTTCAGAATCCTAAGCTTAGACCTGCTTTCACTAGGGGAACATGTCCTCTGGCTTTCTCTTAATCACTTAGAAGATAATTTAGAGGGAGAACTCTCATAAATCCAACTCATTTCGGCCAGGCTGAACAAATTATTGTCCTCGGTTGAAAGAAGAGCTGCTGTTTTAACTGCTTTGTGCTTGTGTCCATGATCCATCTCTTTCCGTGGAGGACTCAGGCGTCTGGAAAATCACGAGCAAGGGCGCAGCGTCTGCTGACAGGGGCTTCTCACCAGCAGAGCCCTGGCCGCGCGTCGGCTGCTCCTGCCAAGCGAGACGGGTCCAAGCTGAAGCTATCAAGAAACATCCTCTGCGTCAGCTCCGGACTCCACGTGGCTGGCCCTTCCTTTCTCTGGAGAAACAAATGGTGAGAAAATGTCCAGTTTGCTCTCCTGTTAAATTGGACCTTTCTCTGCAAAGAGGAGGAAGTGTTCCAACCGGCAGTCAGTTTCAAACAGAACCTGCACGCCCTTTCCTGGAGACACTCAACATTGTAAAGAAGACAGGGCAATAAATCAGACCTGAAAATGAGGCACTGTCTTAATCTTAATACAACTGAAGTCAACGGAGGAGAAACTCTAAAAAATGAAGATATATATATATATATAGATATAGATATAGATATAGATATAGATATATGTATAGATATATATACACTCATATTTGTGTTTGCTAAGCATGTATTCACCTTCTTAGTCACATTTAATTCTTAATCAAACCTGCAAAAGAGGCTGAGAAACAATTATAATTTCCATTTCACAGATGAGAGAATTGAGTTTAGAGGTCAAAAGACTTCCTGAAAGTCACAGCAACATTGTATTAGTGACAGAATTAGGTCTAAATATCAATTTTAGTAATTCTCATTTCAAGGAAAATGAGTGTTTTAGAAAAATAGTAAGAGACAATATTTAGAGGAGTTATTATGCATCCAGTACTATGCTGTACACATTATCATTTTTAATTCTAAAGCTACTCTGTGATAGAGGTAGAATCATTATTCTCATTTTATAGATAAGGAAACAAAAGCTAGAGATGGTGATTACTCTAAGGTAGTATAGATATTTATTGGTGGAGCTAGGATTCAAATCAGTCATCTGATGTAAAATCTGGCTCTTAAACAAGTAAGCATCTATTTAAATCCTGCTACTAATACTTATTAATTAATTATTTTCCCTGAACAAAATTCTGGCATTTTTGGAGCCTCTCTGTTACATGGTTTATGTAGGTAGTTTATTCCAGAATCTTATTCTTAGTAGACTACAATGAACATTATTTTCCTTTTTTTTTAGATTTATTTACTTATTTAAAAAGCAGACATACAGAGGGAGAGGGAGGCAGAGACAGGGACAGAGAGACAGAGATATAGATATCTTCTACCCTCTAGTTCACTCCCCAAATGGCTGCAATGTTTGGGGCCTAGAACTCCATCTTGGCCTTTCATGTGCGTGGCAGTGACCCAAGCACTTGCGCCACCTTGTGCTGCTTTCCGAGGCACATAAGCAGGGTGCTGGATCAGAAGTGGAGCAGCCAGGACTCAAACTGGTGTTCATATGGGATGCTGACACTGGTCCCAATTTCTGTTCTTCCAGCCATAAACATTTACTAGCAAGTTTTATGATACAAATAGCCATCTTGGTTAATCTAACATCATAAAATAACACTTATATTGACAGTTGAAAATAAAAAAAAAAAACAACCATGTCTTAGAATCATCTTAGAGTCATATTTAATTACTGTTTTCCAAGTTTTCTCAATAGGTTCTTTAGGTAAAATTAAATCTTTATTTTGAGGAAGAAACAAAAACTACATGTGTTCATAAAATTATCTGGCCAACAAAAGCCCATTTGTTATGGAATTCCTGAATGACCTAAGCATATTAAATCTGTGTTACTTAGTAAGACTACAGTTTAAATAAGTAAGAGCATGTTAATTGAAGACCAGTTCCAGAAAATTGTCCTGCAAACACTGTAGGCTTTAGAACTTTGAAACCAAGTCACTTTCATTTGAAACCATGCCATAGTTGAAAATCAGAGCTCTGACAGAGTGGGTTTTAGCTCTTCATGTAAAAGTGCTCCTTTTTAAACATAAAAGAATTTATGGATCTACCACCAATCATATCATACAAAAACCTGTGATTAATGTATGTTATCTTTAACAGTTGTAGTTACTGAAAACAACTGTATATTCATTAATTCATATTTTATTAATCCAAAGTACCTACACATACCTACACAAAAATGATAATACTTTGAGATACCAGCTATTATTTTTAGTATATAAATTTGTGTGTCTACATGACTTTATGGATTCCTTTCCCTCAAAAACATCATTCGACGATGATCCATAGCTGAAAACCAATGTTCTAAAATATTAGCACCAAAAGATCCATTTAATCACAGAATACCTAAAAACCAAAAAAGCACATCTCACCTTGAACATTTTGAATGCTAGGACTGTGTTATCTGTTTGAACTCAGTCCAAGACCCCTTAGTTGGCATGGCTGGACCAGGCATGGTCACTGAGACAGGGGTGAATTAAGTGCTCACAAGTTGGCTTATTCCACTGTGGAGATACTAAGAAACAGTTTAGAAAGAGATTAAATCTGCTTATATCTCTCATATCCTATATATTATATCAAACGAGGGTCTCATTAGGAAAACCAAAACTCTACTAGTTACCTCAAATGCTTGTGTGTGTGTGTGAGCATATATGAGTGTATGTGTGTGTGTGAGTGTGTGTGTAAGACTACAGTTTAAATAAGTAAGAGTATGTTAATTGAAGACCAGTTCCAGAAAATCGTCCTGCAAACACTGTAGACTTTAGAACTTTGAAACCAAGTCACTTCCATTTGAAACCATGCCATAGTTGAAAATCAGAGCAGTGAGAGAGTGTGTGTGTGTATGTGTGTGTGTGTGTTGGAGGACAGGAGGGGAGACTAACACAAACACCAAAAGCATTTGAAGGCAAAGAAAGTCAAAAGAGAAGGGCAAATAATGCCAGAAATTGGTAACTGCAGTGGCTTCTACCACCCACCAGCCTGAGCCCAGAAGGCAGGAGGTGGTTTCAGCACAGTCTGGGAGCACCAACTACGCACTCAGCTGCCAAGTGAAACAGCAGCCACTGCATCTGCTGCTGTGGTCCTAAATGCCTAAAGCACTGATTCCACTGAAGCTCTGCTGAAGTTGGCAGCCATGAGCAAATCACTACCTGATCTACTGCTGCTAGATCTACTCAAGGCAGCTGGAATACACAGTCACTCATTTCTGCCGGAAACATTAGCAAAATCAGGAAGAGCAGAGCAATGTCTTTCTCCTCTCCCCAACTCCCTCCCCCCATTTTACCCCTATTTTGCAATATGCTGCCACTACTTCTTACTGGTTAAGTAGAATGGGAAAGCCACCATCAAGGGAGTTTCTGAATGGTAGTTTGCAGGAGTCTAGCCCCAAGAGATTCATACCAGAGCATGGATAACTCGGAGGACAACTGACTGCAATAGGTAAACTATCAGCTTAGTCCAAACACTTAGCCATACATACCTATACTCACCCTTTAGCATATTTAATTTCTATTGGTAAGAGAATCCTGGCCCTATATACATGATACATCTCTTCCCACCATAAAGATCCGCTAGTTTTTTCAAAAAAAAACTAAGTGTCATAGAGCCCCCATCAACCACAATATCCATGGGTCACCATTCCTCCTAGATATACTGTAACCAAAAACTAAATTAAAAAGGCAATTACCACAAACATAAAATAGTAAGATGAGGCCTAGAAATTCTGAAGAGAGTCCTACATTAGAACTAAAAGGATCATAACAAACTTCATAAAAACACGACATTCTTTAAAAAAAAAGAAAAAATTAATAAAATGCTGACATGGTGCAGCAGGTTAAGTCACTGCCTGTGATGTTGGTTCAAGTCCCAGCTGCCTCCACTTCCAACCCAGCTCCCTGCTAATGCACCTAGGAAAGCAGTGGAAGATGGCACAAATCCTTGTGTCCCTACATCCATATGGGAACACTGGAGGGAGTTCCAGGATCCTGGCATCTATGTATCCAGCCCCAGCGATTGCTGCCACATGGGGTGTGAACCAGCAGATCGAAGGTCTCTGCCCTCATTCTGTGTCTCTACCTCTCTCTATCACTCTGCCTTTCAAAAGTAAGAAAACAAACAAACAAACAAAAAAACACATGACAGTACAAAATTAATTAATAGAGCAGATACACAAAAGAGAAGAGAATCCAATGTTACAATGACAGAAAACTACCAAAACACAAAGATTATATGAGGTGAAAGTAGAGAATAACTAAAACAATCAGTAGGCAATCAAAAAGGACAAGTTCATCTATATTCTATAGTTTAATCTATCAATATGAATCTTGAATGTAAATTGATTAAATTCCTTAATCAAAAAAATATAGGTTGACTGGATGATTAAAAAAAAAATCCATCCACTTGTATGCTGTCTAAAAAAAAAAAAAACTCACTTCATGGACTGAAAGTGAAGATTTGGAAAAAAATTTATCATGCAAATGGAAAATAAAAAGTGCTGGAGTAGCTATATTTATATGAGCTAAAAAAAACTATAAAAAGAGATAAAGAAAGTCATATATGTTAATAAGATGATTGAGCAAGAAGATACAACAATCCTAAATGTATATACAACTAATCCAAGACCACCCATTTTAAAGCAAATATTATTAGACATAAAGGTAGAAACAGATTCTAATACAATAATAGTGGGGGACTTTGTCCCTGGCATCAATGGACAGATCATCCAGACAATCAATAGATATACATCAGAATTAGAACAAATTGATCTAATAGACATTTACAGTACATTTCACCTAACAGCTATGGAATATACATTCTTCTTATCAGCACATAGAACACTTTACAGGATGTACCACATATGATGGTACAAATCAAGTCACTGAATTTTAAAAAAATTGAAATCATACCATGTATTTTCATAAACCACAAATGAATAAAACTAGAAAACAGCAATAAGAAAAATGATGGAAAAAGTGCACTTAAACAACATGCACTTGATTCACAAATGGGCAATTAAAGAAGTAAAAAGAAAAATAAAAAAAAATTGAAACAAATGAAAATAAAACCACAACACATCAAAACTCATGGGATACAATAAGAGAAATATTAAGAAGGAAATTACAGGGACCAGTATTTGGGCACAGCAGGTTAACCTGAAGCTTGTAACTCTGGCTTCCCATATGTGAGCTAGTTCAAGTCCTAGCTGATCCACTTCCCATCCACTTCCCTAGTAATGTACCTGAGAAAGCAACAGAATATGGCCCTAGGGTTTGGGCCATGCCACAAATGTGGGAAATATGGATGAAATTTCAGGTTCTTGGCCTAACCCTGGTCATTGCGGCCATTTAGAGAATAAACCAGCAGATGAAAGATATGTCTTTCTGTTTCTCCCTCTCTCTGTGTAACCCTGCCTTTCAAATGAATAAATAAATCTTTAAACAAATAAAAGGGATGTTATAGCAATAATTATATACATTAAAAATTAGAAAATTTTCAAATAAAGAACTTAATAATAAAACTTAAAGACTTAGAACAGAGCAAACCCAAAATTAGCAGGAGACAAGAAATTAAAATGATCAAGAGGAAAAAAATGAAACTGAAACAATAAAATACAAAAGTTAAACAAAATGAAAAGCTGGCTTTTTGAAAAAATAAACAAAATTGATAAACCTTAGCCAGACTAACAAAAAAAATTCATACAAATAAAATTAGAGTTGAAAAAGATACCACAAAAATGCAAAGGATCTAAGAAACTTCTATGTTAACAAATTGGAAAACCTCAAAAATTGTATAAATTCCTGGATATATGTGACCTACCAAGATTAGGTCAAGAAGATACATAAAATCTAAGCAAACCTATAACAAGTAATGACATTGAAGCAGTATTTAAAAGTCTCACATCAAAGAAAAGTTCAGGACCTTATGGCTTTACAACTGAATTCTACGAAACATTTTAAAAGAGGAACTAACTCTTCAAACTATTCCAAAAGATTGAAAAGAATGGAACTTTGCCAAACTCTTTTTATGAGGTCAGCAGTACTCTGACACCAAAATGAAACAAAGACAAAACACAAAAAGAAAACTACAGACCAAAATAGTTGATGAACATAGCTGCAAAGATTCTCAATAAAATATTTGCAAACCGAATCCAACACTACATGAAAAAGAGCATGCATCATAATCAAGTGGGATTTATTCCAGAGATGCAAAGGTGACTCAACATTCACAAATCAGTAAATGTCTTAAATCACATAAAAAATGAAAAATAAAAAACATATGATCATCTCAATAGATGCAGAGGAAGCATATAAGATTCAACATTCTCTTACGATTAAAAAAATTCAACAAATTTTCTATAGAAGAAACATACTTAAAAATTATAAACACTATATATGACATCAACAACCAATATTGTACTGAACGGGGAGATGGAACAAGACAGGATGTCCACTTTCACCGTTCTTATTCAACAGAGTATTGGAATTCTTAGCAAGAGCAATTAAGGGTGAGAGAGAAATAAATAACATCAAAATTGGAAGGGGGGAAGTCAAAGTATTTATATTTGCAAATGATATGATGTTGTACATTGAAAAACCTAATGGCTCATCAAAAAGCTATTACAACTGACAAACCAATTCAGTCAAATCACAAGAAACAAAATCAGCATACAGAAAACACAAGCATTTTTATACATTATTAATGATCTCACTAAAGAGAAATAAATAAAGAAATCCTATTCCCAACAGCTATTGGAAAATGAAATATCTAGTAATAAATTTAACCAAAGAAGTGAAAGATGTCAAGAAAATAAATTATAAAACATTGATGAAAGAAATCATCAAGGACACACAAAAAATTGAAAGATATACCTTGCTCATGGATTTGAAGAAATAATATCATTAAAATATCCATTCTACCCAAAGCATTCTATAGATTCAAGGCAATCCCTTTGAAACTATCAATAACATTCTTTACAGAATTAGAAAAAAAAAAAAACCCTGAAAGTCATTTGAAACCACAAAATATCCAGAATAATCAAAAAAGAATCCATGAGGGAGGAAAACAGGCTGGACATATCACAATATCTGATTCCAAAGCATACTATAATACTACAGTAATGAAAACAGCAGGGGTCCAGCTCTGTAGCGTAATAGGTGAAGCTGCCGCCTGTAGTACCAGTATCCCATATGGTGCCGGTTCAAGTTCCCGCTGCTCCACTTCAGATCCAGCGCTCTGTTAAGGACTGGGAAAGCAGTAAAAGATGGCCCAAGTCCTTGGGCCCTTGCACCTGCATGGGAGACCTGGAAAAAGCTCCTGGCTCCTGGCTTTGCGTCAACTCAGCCCCAGATGTTGTGGCTATTTGGGGAGTGAACCAGTGGATGAAAGACTTTCTTTCTCTCTCTCTCTCTCTGTAAGTCTGCCTTTCAACTAAAATAAATATATCTTAAAAAAAAAAAAAGGCAGCATGGCACTGGGATAAAAACTACAACAGAGATCAATGTAACAGATTGGAAAACAGAAATTAATTCATGTACATAAAGCAAACTAAGTTTTGACAAAAGAGTTGAAACATTCATGGAGGAAAAGATAGACCTATCAATAAATAGTGCTAGCAAAACGGAAAATGCATATGTAGAAGAACAAACTTAGATGCTTACATCTTATGATACCCTAAAATCAGCTCAAAATGGGTCAAAGACCTCACTGTAAGACTTGAAGCTCTAAAGCTGCTAGAACCAAATGTGGGGAAAACACATTAAGACATTGATGTTATTAATAGTTTTAAATGACCTCAAAAGTGTGAGCAATAAAAGCAAAACTGGATATGCGGGGTTACAGCAACTCAGCAGCTTCTTCACAGCAAAGGAAGCTATCAACACAGTTAAGAGACATCCAACAGCATAGGAGAAAATATTTGTAAGCCACTTATCTGACAAAGGATTAATATCCACAATACTTCAGAAACTCAAAAAACTCAACAACTAAACAGCAAATGGACAAAGAACCTGATTAGACAGTTCTCGAAAGAAGAGATACATATGGCTGATACATATATGGAAAAAATGCTCACTGTAAATAGCCATTAAGGAAAAGCAAATCAAAACTACAATGAGGTATCCATCATTTTACCTCTGCTAGAATGACTGCCATCAAAAAGACAGGGTAACAAATGATGGTGAGGATATTAAAAAGGGGAATTCTTACACGTTATTAGTGGTAACACAAGTTAGTACCGCTACTACGAAAAACAGATTTGAGGTTTACTTAGAAACTAGAAGTAGAACTGCCACGTGATCCAACAATCTCACTCCTGGGTAAATAGCCAAAAGATATGAAATCACTTTATCATTTATGTGCTCCACCTTGTTTATCACAGCGTTGTTCCCGTTAGTCAAGATATGGAATCAACCAAGGGGTCCATCATCAGATGAATGGACAAAGAAAATATGATATATATGCACAGTGGAATGCATTCAGCCATAAAAAATGAATAAAATCCTATCATTTGCAGCAAAATGGACGGAACTTGAGGGCATCATGTTAAGTGCAGGAAGCCAGGCATGGAAACACAAATACCTCAGGCTTTCCCTGACGTGTGTAAGCCAAAGGAAACAAAAACCGAAGGCAGAAAACTCAATCTTGACACACAATAATGATTACTAGAGGCTGCCCTGAACAGGAGAGGAATAGTGGGAGTTTGAATAGTGGGTACCAAATTAGTCTTATAACAAAGGAGTAAGTAATGCACAGTATTACACAGAGTGGGGAAGGTGGGGGCTATAATTCACAAAAACCCAGTATATACTATGTGAGCAAATTGACTGAAGAAGTTCCAAGGCTCCACTCGCAAAGTCATGTCAAAGAAGGTTAAACGTTGATTACCTTGTATTGACTGTACACCTCATCATATTGTATCTCATAAATATGTACATCCATAATTCATAAAAACATCCATAATTCTAAAAAAGCAATAAAAGTTATCATAGCAAAAATAAATAAAATACTAAGAATAAGGGAACTAGAAACCATTAAAGAATTTGGCTATAAATACACAAACATACAAATATGCACACACATATGTGCATAAAATACAAGACAGAACATAGATGTCTTCTTGGTATTTTTGTTTATGTCACGGGTTATTTATTCCATGGTTAATATTTACATCCCTGCCCTTGCCCTTGTCCACAACAGTGGTGGAATTATACAAAGCTCACTTACTGTTCCATATTTCCTTGACAGCATCAGCACCACTCAGAACCAGCCCCAGAAAATAAGAATTTGGGGGCTCCACCCTTGATTCAGACCAATCTGGACAAGATCTCCCTATCTTGACAGTCATTGTTTATCTACTTTTATGAAATGTGCTTTTATTTCAGTTACTCACTTTTTGAACTTAAATGCAAGTATATTGTTACCATTTATATTACATATGGAAATATTGTTATTGATATATTTTTCACCATGATTGTGTTCAAATTTACCATATTGTGAATTTTCTATTGGTCTTACATGTGTTTTTAATCTATGTATCAGGATTTTTATTAATTATATAATTTCTACTTTACTTCAAATTTTCTATTATTTATTAATAACAACATTTTGTTTTATTTATTTAGTGATTCCTTTATGATATACTGTATGCACCTTTAACTTAATGCAGTCTACCTTCAAGTATTTTACTAGCTTACATAGAACGTAAGAATGTTATCACACTGTTTTTTTCGGATTTCTTGCTTGCTTGCTTTGTGACCCTCATCACACATTTAACCTTCACAAATGTCATTAGTATCACAATTCACTCTTAGTATTAGTTACTTAAGTAATCAGTTGTTCCCTTAAAGATTTCCTAATGTGAAAAAAAAAATATTCTGTCTTACCCATATATTTGCCATTTCCGGTGATGTTCTTTCATTTTGTTATGTCCCAAAGCCATTTGGTGTCATTTGCCTTCCACACTGAAGAATTCCTTTAACACTTCTTATACTTTAGGTTGGTGATGAAATGTAATATTACATTTCACTTATTCAAAAATGTGTTTATTTTTACTTCCCTTTATGTGTATTTCCCACTTTTCCTCCTAGAACCTTTAGTACTTTAATCATAATTATTTTATATTTTCATTCTGATAATTCCAAAATCTAGAATAATTGCAAAATATCTGAATCTGATTCTGAGCTTGCTTTCTCTCTGGACTGTGTTTTTCCCTGTTGCACATGGCTTACTTTTGTTGTTGTTGTTGATAGCCTGAGAGGATGAAGTTAAAGAAATTAAAGTGAATAGGTCTCTAGTATGAGCTATAATGTTTATCTGACTGGGAGTTGGGTTTTGTTTGCTATAGCTGTGGGTGTCCGAAGCTACTATTTCCATCAGGTTCCATCTTCCCTGTTATTTTCGGATTTCCTTAGAGAATATTTCTGAAAGTTGGTCTGAGATTGCACTTCCTTCAGCTGTGATGTCCTTTATTATCATTAATAGACTAATGATGCTGTGTTACAAGGCACAGTCATTACCAACAGGCTTCTGCTTCTGGGCTGTTGCGTTCAATAACCTGTGATTCCTTATAGCTTCCTGTCTCAAAACACTGGGCAGCAACTTCTCCTGTGTGACCTGAGTTCTCAGAAAAGTTATGGATTTTTAGTTTGTTCAGCTTTTTTCTTGTGGCTGAACCACAGTGATAACATCCAAGGTCTTTATACATCAGATTACAATTCAGAAGTCTGAGTGTCAAATTTTTTATGATATTTTTTCTGGAAATAGAAATTCAGCTTGACAATTTCTTTCTTTCTCCCTTCCTTCCTTCCTTTGTTTCTTTCTTTCTTTATTTTTAAGATTTATTTTTTTATTTGAGAGACAGAGTTACTGAGAAACAGAGAGAGAAAAAAAATGGTCTTCCATCAGCTGGTTCACTCCACAAATGGCCACAATGGCTGGAGCTGAGCCAATCAGAAGCTAGGAGCCAGGGTGTCCCAAGTGGGTGCATGGGCTCAAGCACTTGGGCCGTCTTCACTACTTTCTCAGCCCATAAGCAGAGAGCTGGATTGGAAGAGGAACAGCCAGGACTTGAAACAGCGCCCATATGGGATGCTGGCACTGCAAGCCGGGGGCCTAGCCTGCTATACCACAGTGCCAGCACTCTTTTTCTTCTTATAGCATATGAAGATGTTGGTCCATTGTCC